TCCTTTCAAAATGCATTTGTGGGTGGGGTTACAGCAGACCTCAGGCAGAGGAACACCATGACACAAAAGATTTAATGGCTAGCGTTTATTTTCCTGGCACCCGTTATGCAGGCCCCCAGTAAAACAAGTGCTACTCTCTGCTCTCCAGGGCCCAAGGAAACGGGGCGGGGACCTGGCTCAGGGCTTCGAGAGATGGAATTAGTTAGGCCTCCGTCAAGGCGCCGCGAGTGCTGGGGGCCACAGCCCGTGGAGCACACACGTCTTCTGGTGGAGGCCCTGCGCCCTCCCTGCACAGACAGAGCCTCTTTCTTCCTCAAGGAAAAGTGCCTCTTTCACAGGCTCCCACAAGCAAAGGAAATGGAAAGTCCCAGAGCGTCCTGAGCCCCGCTCTGCTCCATCAGGGAACTTTGCCTCCAGCTTTTCCCGAGTCCAGGGACAGTGCTAGACCTTTGCACGCAGGCTGGGTCTGGGGCAACCGCGAGTTTTGTAGCTGGAGGCCAAGGGAAGCACAACCCTCAAGGGGAGAAGCCCGATGTGCTGACCTCCCACCCGGACCCCGTCTCAGCCAGAAACCAGCTCGGGAGCCCCTCTGGCCCCTGGAGGCTGAAGCCCCAGGCAGAGCGCTGGGACCAGGGTTCCACTGAGAAGCTGCTGATCTCAACCCTGCTGGCTCCACATTCCTGGATGATGAGGAGGGATTCCAGTGTTTACTTTGAACAATGTTTTCCTGTGTCTGAACTGACGGGGTGTTAAATTCTTCCAGATTTCTGGCTCCACATTGCAGTTGCAACAGGACAGACATGGGTTTATGGCAGTTGGCAAGGAGTGGAAGCAGAGTCCAACTGGGCACCTTCTGTGTCTGGAATTTCCACGCAGTGGATGGAAAGACTTCGAGCCTGGCTCTGTGGGCTCCGTGCCCAGAAGGGGTTGTTGTGGTCTCCGCTCAGAACTCTGACTGCGCCTTTCCTATTTCCCACCCTAGAGAGTAAAAGTTAGCTTTTCTCTTTTGAAATGAGGCAAGGAGGGAGAAAACCAGCCAAGTCCTGAAGGTCGGGCCTTGCAGTGTTTTCTCTGTCAGTATAAACCCAGAAGCTGAGCTCACAAGGAATTCATGTGGTGGGGTACCGGAAACGGGCGTGCATTCCGGGTTCCGGGGCCTGCTGTGCTAGGGGGGTACCAGGAGGTCAGAGCTGGATGGGAGATGAGAGAGTTTCTAGCCAGGAGGGAATAAGCACAGGGAGGCCCAGTGACCCGAGGGATAGAATGTTGGGCTGGAAGACCTGTCCCCGCACAGCTGGTTAGAACTCTCAGAAGTGTGCTGGTTGGGACTGTGGTAACCTATAACTATTACTATGACTTATTGCTGAGCAAGATGACCAGTGACAACAGCCCACAGGAGACACTCTTTTCTGTGTTGATACATCAATGGCTTGAGAGACATAGAGAACTTCAGAAACCAATGGATTTATTGAAAAGATAAAGGTGCTCCTCTTTTCTCCTATGTATAATAAACAGGTTCTTCATCCTTGCGTTCTGGGGTGATGAACTCAGGGGACACCCTCATAGGACCCAGGATAACTTGTACTCTGTGGAGTCTTCGGTGAAGTTCCAGCCTCTGGGCAGGTGCTGTTCTGCCTCCTTTTTAAAAACTATCTTCAACCAAGGATATGTTTCTATTAATTTTAGAGATAAAGGAAAGGGGAGAGAGAGAGAAAGAGAGAGAGAGAGAAAGAGAGAGAGAGAGAGAGAGAGAGAGAGAGAAACATTGATGTGGGAGAGAAATCTACTCCTGAACCCCTTTTCTGGTGTGTGTGTACACGTGTGTGTGTGCACAAGCAGGAGAGGAAGATGGGTGGCCATCCTTCTGACTTCAGGACCTAGGTGGCATCCATACAGTCTGTATACGGTGGAGTTGGATAAAATAGTTCCTTGATAGAAGTTGTCATTCTGATTTGTCTGCTTTCACAAAGCCATTTTGACACCAGGGACACTTTTACTTGGTTTTAAAAAGAAATCACTACAATTTCAGCTTTCTATACCCCTTGAGTAATGTGCAAAGCAAGCACCCTAGTACCCTCTATGAGCCCCCTTCACACTTTGTCCACTCCCTTCCTCCAGTCCTGACCCCTCTGGCGGAATCAGGCGATCTGTTGTCTCCAAATGGCCTTTTCAAAATTGACTGTTAGACAACGACTTCATTTTTAAAAAATATTTTATAACTATTAATTCTTTATTTACATATGTTCTCTTCAAGTAGCGGCTATATTGTTCTCTAGCGATGGAAGCGGCATGAAAGGAGTAGTTACTCAGTGAAATGGCTCCCCCTGCTGGCAGAGTACAAAGCCCGCCTTTGTTCAGTCTCCTGGGCAGGAGATCCCTCTGAACTGGTAAGGCCTTGTGTCGGTTATCTCTTGCTGTGTAACAAATTACATCCAAACTTAGTTCCTTAAAGCAAACATTTGTTCCAGTTTCTGTGCCAGGAATCTGGCTGTGACTTGCTGCGTGCCTCTGTCTGTAGGTCTCTGCACAAGGGACAGTCGTGGTTCTGGCTGGGGCTGTGGTCCTGTGTGGAGGCTCAGCTGCAGGCAGATCCACCTCCACGCTCACTTAATTATTGGCAAGATCAAGTTCCTCACAGCCTATTAAACCAGGGGCCTAGTTCCTGGCTGGCTGTTGGCTGGAAACCTCCCTCAGGTCTTTGACATGTGGGCTTCTCCACAGGGCAGCTCATCAAATAGCAGCTGGCTTCCCGCAGAATGAAAGAGATGGGGTGGGGAGAGAGAGAGGGAGTGTGCAAGAGGGAAACCACACATTTTTTTATGCAAATCTCAGAAGTAACTTCCTGTCACTTTTACCATGTTCTGTTTGTTAGAAGTGAGCTGCTAGGTGTTACTCATACTCAAGGAAAGGGGTTTCACAAGAATGTGAAAACCAGGAGGTAGGACCCATGGGGACCTGTGGGAGGCTGCCTCCCTCAGGCATCATGGGCCCACCGGCTGCTGAGTGTGTGCAACCTGTGGGCTCTGCTGCCCAGCGCGCTGACCAGCCAGTGGCTTGACAGGCGGAGGAAAATGAGTTCCGTGTTCGCACTTGGGAACTTTGTTGATAGCATTCTGAAGACTTCTCAGAAAAAATCACAACCTAGGTATGTGCCCTGAACGGAACCAAACCCACAACCTTTTGATGCACAAAACAATGCTCCAGCCAACTGCACCTCCAGCCAGAGCAGGCATAAAGTACTTTTATCTGAATTAATCCAATCATTATAACATCTATTGAGGCAGAATGTTTCTCATCCTGTATACAAAGAAACGGAGGTTCAGAAATATTAAGTAACTTGCTCAAGATTAGACATAAAAAGGTGAAGCTGGATTTCAAAAGCAACTCTGCAGACTAAACCCTGTGCTCCACCCTACACCCCCTGTAACACTGCTTGCATACCTAAGTCTCCAGATTATTCCCAGTAGGAATTTGGCCAGACTTCTTGGCCCAGTTTCACTCATTAAGTCATTTTACACCAGGCTTCAGTGACCTGAGAAGAGAAATAGAACTCAGCTGGGACAGGGGCTGTCAAAGCTGGAGACTGCACAGAAGACACAGCCGCTGAGTCTGGAGAGTTTGTGTGAGTGTGTGTGTGTGTGTGTGCGTGCACATGTCCATGCACACTGAGTGTGTGGTTCATGGACTCTTGCTCATACCAGGGAATAATCATATGACCACTCAAGGCGATGTGTGTACATGTGCACATGAATACATGTGTCTACAACTGAACACAGATGCCTCAGACATGCACAAGGTCAAGAATGCTCTCCAGAGGGTCTCCTTCTGGTGAGCAGAGGGTAGAAGTTGTATAGACAGGGCTGTTGGGATCTGAAAAGTGGGGCAGATGACGTGAGGTGGGTGAGATGTGGGGACAGCCGGGTGGCGGTATTTCTGTTACAGGGTCCCCTGAACCCACCTGTGACCTCCTGCTGTTCCAATCTCTTTCCTGATCATTTGTGAGATGCATTTTGTTACTAATTCCTCCAGCTGGAAAATTGGACCATGATGTTTTAGCCTGTGGACAACATCACAGTCCTGCACATTAATGTTGATAACAGTTCAGCCAATGGGCTCTTACCACATGCCTAGGCCCCGTGCTCGATGCTTTATGTGAATCATCCCACCACAAAAATCCTTACAGCAGCGTGGATAGTTCCTATCATTGCCCCTATTTTACAGATGGGGACAATAAGACTTAGGAAGTTTAAGCATCTCATTTCCGCTCACAGAGCTAAGAAGCAGTTGTCCTGTCCTGAACACATGCTCTTAATTTTATGCTACACTTTACTCCAAACCACTGTGTTGGGTTTTTTGTTTTGTTTTGTTTTGCAGCTTTTTCTTATTAGGAACTTTGGCTAGTTCTCTTACTAGTTGCCCTCTTCAGATACTGAAATACATATGTGATAATATCGCAGGAACACAGCAGGCGCAGCAGGGAGAGGGCTGGTTCTCTGCAAGGCCGCTGAGGTGGACCCAAAGGCCCGGCCCTGCGAGGGAGAGGGACCCGCACACTCCGTGCACAGCCGCTCACGGACCGACAAGCATCCGACGCATCTCTCCACTGTGCCAACGAGACACATTACCACCCTTGTTGTTTAACTGGGTTTCTGACTCAACAAAACTCCTTTTGTCAGAACTTCAAAATTCCCTGGCATGTTACCCACACATATTTTCTATGTGGTTAACAGTTATGTTTCATTGTATACTACTTGTGTATATTTGTGCCTAGAAAGATTCATCTGAAACTAGTAACTAAATCTCTCTCCTCCATTTCGAAAGACCTCTTCCTTGACCTCGGGGAACTGATCATTGCTGTTTTCTCTTTTAACCACAGGCAGCAGCTTCCTATATAGTCAACTGTCCATTCCCCCCAAACTGCCCATGACAGTTACATGATATTTTGCCAGTTTGCCTTCCTCATTCTGTTCCTCAGGAACCTGGTGAGATGAGCTTCTCCAGCGACCCACAGGAGCCTACAGACAGTAGTGAGCACAGGAGGGCGTCAGAACCAGGTGAGTCAGCCTGGCCTTGGGTTTAGACCATGGTCAGTCCTCAGAGTAGACAACTTGTGGGCTAAGGGCGGACTGGAACTTAATTATCTTACTCGGAGCCTTAAGAAACACAGTGTGAGGAGAGAGAGAGAGAGAGAGAGAGAGAGAGAGAGAGAGAGAGAGAAATCAAGCCAGTAACACAATGGGGTGGATGGTCCTAAATAGACCAGGCAGAGCGGGCTTACGCACAAGCCAACCTAGAGGGCTGGCTGGTCTCCCAAGAAGAGTGTCATAGGAGCAGCTCTGGACGGAGACATGAAGGGACTGGATGGAGAGCAGGGGCCACACGTCTAAATTTACAGCCACTCTGAGGGAAGAACACAGGTGTTTGGGAAGAGGCAGGTACACCCACTGACCACAAGCAGAAGCTGCTCCCCACGCTGCCTGGGGGTGTGATCTGGCCATGTCTGACGGCAGTGGAACACACACTGGACAGTGGGAATGGAAATGGAGGTTCAGGGGAAAAGTGGAGTTTGAACTAGGTACGTTTAGGCCCCAGGGACTTTTCGTATCAGACAGGTGGCCCGTCACCTACGATGAAGCCTGAATCCTGGACTGCTCTGGCTCCGAGTCACTCTTCTGGGCACTTCACGTGCAGCCTCAGTGAATCGCTCAGTCTTACAATAATCTTACAAGGGAACCCTAGTTTGGCTCCGTGGTTAGAGTGTCGGCCTGCGGTCCAGAGAGACCCGGGTTCGGTTCCCACTAAGGGCACGTACCTCGGTTGCAGTTTGTCCCCGGCCCTGGTTGGATTGTGCAGGTAGCAACCACTCGATGTGACCCTTTCACATCGATGTTTCTCTCTCTCTCCCACTCTATCTGAACAAAAAGTGGAAAAATGTCCTCGGGTGAGGATAAATAATAGTAATAATAATAATAATAATCTTACAAGGGAGGTGTGCCATTCCCATGTTACAGATGGGGACAGTGAAAGCCGAGAGAGAGAGAGAGACAAGTGTAGGAGCTGAACCCTGGCCATTCCATTAGTTATCTGTATGCATCATGTTTATTAGGATAATGCCCAGAATGCCCGCCTTCTGCCAGTTGACCTCATCACTGGTGGCTACTGTCAAGCCGGCTAGCCTGCGGTTCCTCTGTGTCCTGAACACGTGTGTGGCTGCCTGATGTTCGGATTCCCAGCAGTCCTTGGCCACCCCAGGGGAAGTTGCTGTCACGATGGAAGTAATATCTGTTCACCTAACAGATCTGATCCAAGGGCCTGAGGACACAGCAGTAAAAGAGATCAATGAGATCCCTATTCTCAGGGAACTTACCTTCTAGTTGGTTAAAAGAAAATAAATAAGTGAGAAAAATTATAAGAAATACCAGTCAGGAATAGTGCTGTGCCAACAGGAGTGTTGGCAGCAGAATGATTTGATGTGATTTATGTTTAAATGATCGCCCTGGGTCTTCTGAGGAAAAGGAATCGAAAGGGAAAAGAGTAGTGACTGGCGGCTACTTCCAGCAGCCACAAAAGTCCTCATTGAAGGTTTACGTTTGGGCTTATAGGAAGGAGGGGCCTGCTGGAGGAGGACCCTAACCTGGTGTGAGAGATGAGAAAGGCCAATGGCTGGCACCGGAGTGGAGGGAGTTGCGCCAGCTCAGGCTCTGAGGACAGGGAGGACCTGGTCTCGGAGAGTCCCATAGGCCGCGGCGAGGCGTGTGTGCTGTCTTACATAGAGCAGGAGTGTTGGCGGCAGAATGGTTTGATGCGATTTATGTTTAAGTTATCACCCCGGGTCTTCTGAGGAGAAGGATTTGAAGGGGGAAAGAGTAGAAGCAAGGAGACACCTGGCAGGTGTTTGGTGGTCCAGTGAGCAGATGTCTTGGATAAGGATGAAGATGTAGAGAAGCTAAATGATGACAGAGGGTGGTGGGGGACAATGAGGACTGGCTCTCCCAGTGAGGAGCAAGAGGGATCAAAGACATCTTGAATTTTTGAATTAGGCACTGTGCGGAGTGATGGTTTGTCTCTCTCTGAGATGGAAAAGACCGGAGGGGAACATATCAGGGAGTAAGGTTAGGGGTTCTGTTCAAACCATGAAAAGTGTCACATCTTGCCAGGTACTACACAGATGAAGGTGTGTGGATGGTGCTTGGATATGGAAGTTCAGACTGTGGGGAAGGGGTAAAGCTAGAATTAAGGTTTGGCAAAGAGATGAGAGGTAAATGCCACAGGAGTGACTGACGCCACCCTGGGGACAGGTGGAGATGAAAATTTAAAGAAAGAAGAAGGGAGCCCAGAGACCATCGGTGGTGAGTGACATGGGAGGGACACAGGTGTGTGTGGTGTCGCGGATGCCAAGTAGAAATGGGTTTGAAGAACACGAGAGGGTCAGCTGCATCCGGGGCCATTGCATCTTGGCAGGTAGGAGGGGAGGGGCCTGAGGTACCGCGGAGAGACCTGTGATAAGAATAGGGACGCTTCCTCCGTCAGAGGGGGGGGGGGGAGACTTACGAAAGCAGTTGGAAGGTGCGGTGGTGGGAAGAGATAAGGGAGTTCCTGACGGATTCTCGAATTTTTTCCCCAAGTTGGTTGAGGCAGGGACATCAATTGAGAGGGAGGGGGAGAAGGAGGTAATGAGGTGATTTAAAACAGTTGTTTGGGGTGTGGGAAAGTGAAAAAACTTGGAAAAGGGGGTTAGTAGGGTCGGCTAGTCATGTCGACTGACCGAGAGGAGCAAGAGTGTGGAACGTGGAACAAAGGGATTCGGCAGCTGACAGCCCGAGTGAGACCTTGAGTGATGCTGGATGGGCTACTGAACATCCCTGTGGGCCTCGGTTTCCTTTCTCGTAAAATGGAGATAATATGGCATCTAACGCATGGGGTTTTGGTCCAGATGAAATTAATACAGATGAGGTGTTTAGACTGTACCCAGTAGAGTACACAGCACAGAGACCAGCCAGTATCATTCGGAGTGAGTGTGTCTGCTCAGGTGCACTGTCCCCGCGGGTTCAGCTGCTGAGGTGGCCCGCTCAGGGCAGGCCAGCACCTGGGTTCCAGTAGTACCGGGGCTTGGTCATGCAAGTACGGTAGAGGCAAGGGTTTGGGGGTAAAGGTCGTTTCCCAGAAATTATAAGGAGGCACCATGGAATTTCAACAGGATAAAGCAGAAAGCGAGGGCGCGGAGGGGGCTGAGAGAGGAAGGTAGAATGAGTGGGCTGAGACAGGATTACTAGATTGGGAGCTGCTTTCGGTGGTGAGCTGAGCTGCAGGGGCAGAGGCGGTGTGACGGGAGCTCGCCGCTGGGACTGTGCTGTGGTGTGGCCTCGGTAATGACAAGAAGAACGGACTGACTGCAGCGGTGTGGCAGACATTCCGAGGAAGACAGACGTGTGGTGCTATGTTATCCCCATTTGAATGGAGGTGAAGAGGTCAAGGAAGGTCGGGCTAGGGATTTGTATGTATTATTTAGGACATGATGAAGGAACCACCAACGGTGGTCGGAGTAAAAGTGCAAAGGAAGCCAGTGTCCAGGAGGTAAAGTTGTCAGCGACTGAAGGACAGAGCCCAGGGGCCAGAAGCTGGTAGCAACCAGGTGGATGTGGGGTAGTCTGATGGCATGAGCTTCAAAGAAGCAGGGAGGAAAATGGTTTGCAAATGGCAGTGGGGAGGATGGGGGACGAGTGTCCACCTCCTGGTCCCGAGACCTGTAGGCTCTGTGGGGACAAACAGCACTCCCCTGAGAGACCTGTAAGGAACCTGGCTCCTGGCAGGAGGTCTCAGGGAGGGGTGGAGGTGGAGGTGTCTCCAAGCTGCAGCTTCTCACCCTCAGCTGTTCACATTTGAACACAGTTTACAGTCTGCTCAACACTGAGCAAATCCCACACTTTTTGTTCGCTGACAATTTCCTCAACATAATGTGGTAAATGCTACTTATCAGAGGGTCACTTTGTCTTCCTTTGAGAGCACAGGAAGAACAGATTCTTCCTGAGGGAGGGTGAGGAGAGGTTCCCTGAGCGGCCGAGCCGCGCGCTGGGTGCGGAGGACATGCAGTCCCTCAGAAGCGGGAGTGGGAAGAGAATTCAGGACAAAGGCCAAGAAGTAAAAGCTCAAGAGCTTGGCGTGTGTGGGGGGTGATGGGGTGCTCGGTCACTGGGGTGCTGAGTGTGTGTGTGTGTGTGTGTGTGTGTGTGTGTGTAGGGAGAGAGTTGTGGTGATAGGAGCCAAGCTTGGGAGTCTCTTCTAGGGCTGCATTTGGTTGGAAGGGTCTTGCTAAGGACGTGCATTTATTGTACAGGCAATAGGGAGTAAGTACGTTTTGAACAGAAGTGTGACGGGATCGTATTTTTTCTCGGTTGGTTTTCTCTGCTTAGAATGTCGTGCCTGGTGGTGTGCTTGGCACAGCATAAACATTCAGTAAGTAGTTGTTGAATAAATGGATAAATGTATTTATAAACAATAATTCTTGAGTAGCCATGTGGAGGATAATCGAGGGGGAAAGGGAATGGAGAGGCTGGAAGGCCTGTGTGGGGAATGGACCCTGAACTCAGGGTACAGGAGGCAAGGAGGAGTCAAGTTCTGCTCTGAGGTCAGGACGGATGGTGACGTCATTGCCAGAAGCAGGGCCTGAGGGAGAGGAGACTGTGGAAGTACAGGGTGGCGAACAGTACTGAGCTTCCTTTCTAACAGACTTCGGTTGGATGAAAAGGCAGCACTTGTTTAATAAGCAGTTGGAAAGAAGAATCTCTTAGAAGAGAGATGGTTGCTAGGGATACACTTTGGGTAATTTATCAAGGTCCCAGGGCTATTGAAGACACAGCTTTTGGGAAGTGATTCAGTTTGGGAAGTGACTCAAAGGAAATCAATTATCAGAAGATTGCTGAGTGAACAGGAACAAAAGGGACCACTTTCATCAAGTCATCTAGTCAATGAAACGCCCTTTTACTCACTCACTTCTCAGAGAACAGGTGCTGGCATTCCTGAGTCCTCGGCACCCTGTCCTTGCACGGTGCTGGGT